GTATATTTATGACAATATAGAAATAATCAAGCACCAGTTTAATTGAGGGAATCACAATTCTTTCATGGAAAATGGCTTTCTAGTCAACATTACCAAACAAGAACAGGAAATGCTTATGTAGCTTAAACGTACTACCAAATGCACTAAAACATGCAAACATCTGATAAACTGATAAAAAGCTAATGAGTTATTATTTAATTAGATGAGTTTCTTTTTAATCTTAGAGACTGCTAAAAATCATTTTCATTACTTCCAGACGTTCGTGCACAGGAACCCATTCGGTACAACCCAAACACAGGAGCAGGGCGAAGATGACCTCTTCTTCCCCCATCAATTAAAGATGGCCAACTCCATGGAAGTGCTTAAAGGTAATTAGTGGATGAAGAGCGGAAGAGTAAAGTGATCTGTGTTCCACAACAGCCGTCTGGTTCAGGCAGACAGGTCATATTAGAGAGGCAGAGGGCAGATTTAACAGGGACACGTTCATACACTTACAAGCACCAATATCACCACATGTCCACCCACACCCACACACACACACACACACACACACACACACAAACACTCTCATCTCAGAGTGTGAGCCAGCGTCGATACAATAATCATAACTCACTACGAAATGTACGTTGCAGAGAACGCTGCAAGGACTTGTAAGTGTGCAATAAAGTGATGTTTGCATATTGATGTGTGTGTGTGTTTGTGTGTGTATCAGGCAGACAGTAGCACACTCTCACATGGTAGCTCAACATTAATCAGATACCCGTAAACACGCTGGACAACTTGGATCCTGATACTGGAAACATATCCATCCTTTATTGTTTTTCGCTCTCTGGCTCCCTTCACCCTCTCCTGTCTCTGCATAAAAATAATACCATGACATCAATCTGCATGATTTTGAAGCAGCACAGGTCATAATAAGGTTAAATGCCTCCCAAAAGGGCACGGCTTACTCTAATACCAAAATGCTATGCTCCTACTTTTGACACTTGTGAAATCTTTGACAGCTTGGCAAAACTTCCCCGGTTTGATATGCACCTCGTGCTGAATCCGCCGAGCTGTGTCTGTGTTTCTATTCCTGTCACCATGGCGATGAGGGCACAGATAGGTGCCGTGGCAACCGTGTCCTGGAATCTTGGTTCGTAGACTCTAGCAGCTGTATTTACCAATGAGTTCATCCGCCGGGATAGACACTAAGATCCTGCCAGGCTCCATCTCTCTCTGTATGTGTGTGTGTGTGTCTGTGTGTGTTTATCGATGTATCTGCTAGCTGGCCGGGTTGGTGTGTGCATGTTGGATGCATTTATTTGGGTGATACTCCCTCCCGGACGCAGAGAAAAGGGCAGAGGGCGAAAGACAAAGCCAACAGAGCTGGGACATCACAGAATGAGACAAGAGGCTTTGGGACGGACTACATTTAAGGGCCAAAAAAGGGGGTGGGGGCGAGGGGTACACAGGATTGTGTTTGAGTGTATGTAGTGGGCAGTTGTTAACCTTCTTATCATGGTGTCACATGCCCGTCGCTGGAGACAGAGCTGGACAAAAACACAAATGCAGAGACCTCGACTAAGGAGACGCACTTTACTCTCTTTTCTTTTCCCCTCATTTCCTGCTCCATGCTTTCAGCAGCCTATTATCTTGTTCTCCTGCTAACGTCTAACTCTGTTTTTGTCAAACGTTCTTTTGTGTAGCTTGTCGGCTGCATGTTTTTTTGACAACGCTCACTGCTGCCTGTCCTGTGCTTTCTGCTTTTAATGTTTCTTCCTCTTACTTCCTGCCTCACTGCTGCTTTCTCCTACCATCCAGACTAAGCCTTTTCTTTAACGTGCTGCTAATCCACTTGTCTTCTCACCTTCTAACCTTTATTTTCTCCTTGCCTCCTATCTTTTGGATGGATAGCTACTCCATTCTCTACAGTTCCTCCCAAAGAACCGGACTTCTCTCCGGCTTCCAGCGCCTCCGCTCTCAGAGAAAGATGTGTGATGTCGTCCTAGAGGCTGGCGGTGTATCTTTCCCATGTCATCGTGCCCTTTTGGCCAGCTCCAGCGAGTATTTTTGGGCTCTGTTTGGAGAGACTACCGCGGAGAGATTAGCGGACTCCATTACCCTTCCGGCGTTAACACCTGAGGGTTTAGATGCCATTTTGGACTTCCTGTATTCTGGCTGGCTGAGTGTATCACCGTCTACACTTCCTGTCGTCTTGGAGGCGGCCAGGTACTTGCAGGTGGAGCCGGCTGTGTCAATATGCGAGCGCTTTATGACTGATGGTTTAAGCGCTGAGAATTGCTGCTGCTATGCTAACTTGGCCGAGCATCACACCCTCTCAGATGCACTTGATGCCGCCAATCAAACCATCGCTATGGAGATGGGGACATTGCTACAGGAAAGCAGGGATGACCTTCTCGGGCTAAATATCCAATCACTGATGGCGGTGCTCGATGCTGACGAGATACCTGGTGTGAAGGAGGTGGATCTCATAAAGGTGGCTCTGGATTGGCTGAATGAGAACGGGCCCCTCCCTCTGCTGAAATCAAATCTTCTGCTGAGTCGCCTGCGCTTCGGATTGGTTGCCCCCTCTGACCTCACCAATCAAAGCCACGCCCACAGAGCCATGGCCACACCTCTAATCAGAAGTCAGCTGACTCGAGCATTAGAGTACCATAGGCTAGGTCCAGCTCAGCCAATCAGACAGAGCAAACAGTCAACGCTCAGGGTGTCGCCCAGTCGTGTGCTGCTTGTGGGTGGAGGATCCAGCCCTGATTGGCCAGAACAAAAAATGCTGGCGTTTGATCCCAGAAGCAGGAAGTTTTCATCCCTGGGTTCCAGTCTCCCACTGCGACTGAAAAATCACTGTGTGTGCTCGGTGGGAGGTTTCCTCTTCGTACTCGGAGGAGAAGAAGTGAAAGAGGGAGACGAGGATGGGAAAAAGTCTGTCACCACGGCAACATCCAACCAGGTGTGGCGCTACGATCCTCGCTTCGACCACTGGGAGAAGGTGGAGTCCATGCTGGAGAGGCGGGCGTGGTTCACCTGCTGCGTGGTGGAGGATTTTATTTATGCCATCGGGGGTCGACAAACACAACCAGACAGCGACACACACACCTCTGTAGCTTCTGTCGAGTTTTATGACATGGCTACGGGAGCATGGAGGAGAGGAGCAGCGATGCCTCGCCCCCTTTATGGCCACGCTTCTGCTGTGCTTGACAACTGCATCTACGTTTCAGGTGGTCTCCCAGTCAACCAGGGAAGCATCCATGGTAGTAACCATGGCAATAACCAAGATGACCATAGAGAGTGCAGCAGAGAAGTTCTATTCTGGGACCTCAAAGGAAGAGTCTGGGAGAAGCGAGCGTCCATGTCCATCGCCAGGTTCAGTCACCGCCTGGCAACCGTCCACCGCCACATCTACGCCTTACTGGGAATGTACGAGCCTTTCTGCGATATCGAACAATACGATTCACAGTCAGACCACTGGACCCGCCTTCGACCGCTTCCCATTGGCTCCTTCAACTATGGAATGGTGTCGACGCCGACCGGGAATCTGCTGGTATTTGGAGGGAGAAGATGGAGCGACGGACAGGAGGTGATAGTGAAGAGCGTGTTGGAGTATGATACAAAAAAAGATGGCTGGAGAGAGATCTGTCAGCTCCCCAGACCTCTCACTGGGGTTGAGTGCACACTGCTGCCCCTGCCAGACTAAAGTGCACATCGTGTAAGAAGGTTTTTACACGAAAGTGTGAACATGCCTCTCATCAGTGCAACGCAGCCTCAACGCGCTGAGAATGAAGCACACATATTGAAATAATGGTGCGATAATATCAGAAATTGTACCCTCAATTTTAATGTGTTTGTCATATAAACAACAGTTAGGTTTAGTGAACTGAAAATAGTGGGTTTCAGACATGAAAGAACAAAGAAGAGGAAGACTATCCGTCACAGTAGACAGCTTTGCAGACTGTGTTGGGAAATGAAACTGGGGGTGTCAGAGATTACACCACCATCCCAAACTCAACATTTTAACTTTCAACCTTACTAACTGGCCTGGATTTCAAGATGTTTCTGGACCTCATTAGAGGAGAACAAGATGTGCATTGTATAGGAACATATTTCAAACAAGTTCAATTTAAAACAAGTAGAACTTTACTTTTGTCTCGCTGAGAATTAGATGAGACACACATACATACACATTACCTATTAAATGTAAAGCTAATACCGGGAGCTTTGCTTAGCATAAAGCACATGACCTCCCATATGCCTTAAACTTGCATTTTTTAACCTTTTGGTTTTTGGGTGGATTACACTAATCACATATGTGTTAGTTAGTGAGCTTTACAGGTGCTCAATGCAGATTTTTTTACCTCTAGACAGAGCTAAGCAAGATGTTTTTCCCCTTACAGGCCTTTATGCTAAGCTCAGCTACTCTATTGCTTCGTAGTTCAACATTTTAGTAATATACTATTATTTCTCTTTTGGCCTCAGCTACAACCAGGACACAGCTTAGTTTAAGATAAAGCACAGTAACAGCAGTAATAAGCTTTGAGCGCTAGAGCACCATAAATGACAAGCAACCACCAGTGAGAAGTGATACAGGGCCTACATGTTTTTTTATGAATGATATTCCTGTGACTGAATGTGCCAATGTTCTGCAAAAAGGAGTAAAACAAGAGCTAAGGAGAGAGATAAAAGGGGATTTTGAGAACAAGTACAGAGGAGAAGTAAAGAGATTTAGTGGAAAGAAGGTAATTCCTGCACAGATGAGTTTTCAAGAGGAGGTTGAGCCAGATAGCAGAGGAGGCTATCACACATAAAAGGGAATAGAGAAGAGGTCAAAACAGGAGATAAGGTGATGGAGGTGGAGGAGGACAGCTTTGAAATAAAAACAACAGAAAAGCTAAGCTGAATAGTAGATAAGTTGTAGATAAAAGTTCCATGCATGTGACATTCCTATTTATTGACTAGAGATAAATAATATATTCTATAAAGTAGATATATAGGCAAACAAAGAACATTGAGTGACCTTTTTCGTGTTTTCCTGTTTCACCCATTTCCATCTGCACTGACAGCCCAAATGGACAAAGTAAAGCTGCAGAGTAGAAAAAGCATTAGCAGGAAATCATATGCACGATTTGTGGGTAAAAGCTAGGTAACCTGCTGGTTCATTATTCATGAACTTTTATGCTTGTATCTTCCATTTAATCCTGAATGCATACTGCGCTGTCTGCATTACATTATTTATTTAACACGTTTTATTATGTCTGAAGGAAATGTTGTATTCGAAATTAATTGCGTGTCTCATCATACTTGGCAGTGATTACTGTCAATGAAAACAGCACTCAACTCGGGTACTAACTTCAATAGTTATACATACAGGCACCTTGAAATATGTTATATACAAATCATGGTGTGTAGACTTTTCACTTGCCTTACTGTCCAAACATTGTTGGAATTTAATGCAGATTTTTAGCAGTATTGTACAATTTAACATTCCAAGTGGTCATCATCATGAAATAATATATATGTATTATGAATTCTCATTGATCATGAACCACTGGAAAAATTTAAATTAAGAACCAATAAAACTGAATTGCAGAAGTGATAAGCTCCAGTGTCAGTGTCTCAGGTTCAATAACCTGATCATTTGAACAAAGTATAGCATCGTATGTTAATGTCTGGCAAACATTTTCTCTCTTTTTTTACAGTCTGGTTTATCGAACAGTAGCTGCAGGATTGCAGCTAACATAGCTAAAGCAAGGTGGGCTATGCTGCTGCAGATTTTACTTATTAATTTATTAATAGTAGTTCATATATTCTAGAGCAGGGGTGCCCAGTTTTTTTCCCTTGGATGGCCAAAACTGAAATGTAATGGTGGGCCACGGGCCAAAAGTAAGCACCTTTTGTGTTGTATTATTAAGATACAAAATGTTACTAAGATCCTAAGTTTGGGCAAATAAACACTAATGGTCAAATTTGTGTGACTGACAAGAGGTGAAAATTAGCTTTGCTTTCAGTGTGAACGCATATTGACACAAACATTTTAAGTTCTTAGAGTCTTAATGTTGGTCCCTTCAGCAGAGATATTCCTTGTCTGACGTTTGTTTATAGTATCCCCTCTTCTTCTGATTTTTAATTCACTAGCATTGAATTTGTTGTCCAATAATGTTTTCACCGTAGCCAGGCTTCTATGCATATGTAGCAGAGATCTTCCAAAACATTACCAAACAAAAGGCAAATTAATGTGCATTTCTATCCACTACCGTTATGCAAATAAGATGTTTCATAGAGATACACAGCTGAGGGCGCATATTTTCCAGTCGGATTTTCCCATAAAGAAGAGGCCACAACAAGGTGACGCAACTGAAAGAGCCCCAAATGATGGAAAACGATGTAGAAAACATGATGGAAATATAACATTTCTGTGTTTTATTACAGTCTCCTCATGGCTCCACACAGGTCAGATGTTTCTGTTTTGTCTCTTCAGTGGACGTTAAGTAACACGCTTCCTGTATGGCACTTTTTATGGAAACACACCTAATCTAACAATGTCAGTTCAACTGCAACTACAGGACTGTGCCAGTAGTTGTTTCTATAGCAACACAACACTCAACTGAAACCAAGTGCTGGTGTCAGATTAGTCACTTTTTGCTCAGCTGTGATTGCAGCATTAAGGGAAAGGGCCAAGGATTAGGATTGGTCAGTTGGGAGGAGAAGCAGAGTTGAGTTTCTACACCAGAGGATCTGTGTTGGTGTGTTGTGGACTCTCTCTCTCTCACTCTGCCTCCCTTGTTGACAGAGATGACGCAGCAGCTGTTACCGGCGCTCATCGTCCCTTCCCCAAGTCAGCCTCCTCTCCTTTCTCACCGTCCACCGCCACGAAAACAAACCACAAATACACCTTCCTCCAAATGACCACACTTTATTGATCCACCCTCTTCTTCCAAACAGAACACGAAGAATGATCACGTAAATAAATACTGTTATTTTACCATAATTTATAGATTCAACATTAAACAATCTTTACTCAACTGTCCCAAAAAAACCTGATAGAATTAGAGAACATCATCCAAGACACTTAGTTTGCACTCTATAAAGAGAGATCTACTGTATCTAGAGATTTCAAACACAAAAACAGAAAAAGGAATATTGTGTTTATCTACAACAAAGACATGCTACTACAACCAACCACGGGCAGCAGCATAAAAAGAGCATTCAAACTGTATTTATTGTTTGTTGTTTATTGGCGTGTGTGTCTCGGTGTGCGTGTATTTATGTGTACGATTGCTTTCATAGTTTTGTGCAGTGTCTCTGAGTATTAAGTCATTTGCCAGCAGCATACAAATATCAAACTAATATATTTTTATTAGATCCATATTTCAAATCTTATGCAAATATCTCCTCATATTCTCTACGTGGCATGCAGGATACAGAGCCTCTGAGGAAAAATCCACCCGTAGGAACTATTACACTGTTATGTAACATATAATCAATCTGTGATGTTTGGAAAGTTTCTGGAGTTTTTTGTGATTTCCCCTTTTTTTATGATTTAAATGAGATTTTTTTTCTTTTTTATGTCTACTTTTCTACGGTAACCTTTCACGAACTTTACCACTTGTGGTTGACTCATACACTTGTAGTTGCCATGGTGACCGTATAGCAGGTGTTATAGTGATGATGGCCCATTACGGCTGCTGAAAGTCAAAAAGAAAAGGAAAAAAGGTCCAAAAGCTAATAGCAAGAATCCAGTCTCCTCTTTGGAGGTATTTCTTGTGTTCACAATGCCTAACATGGTAATAAACTGCCTTTTAAAATAAAATCATTTAATCTGCACATCAAACAAACACCCGATCAGTCGAAAACAACAGGGAAGGTCAAATTTCCTCCATTCTTAAAGCTGCAAATTCTAGCACAACAGACTCTTTCTTGGAGGATAGGTAAGGTAGGTTGCATTTAGAAGTTCTGCTGAAGTAAACTTAGAGTTAATGCAATCAGAATAGGGTATTTTTACATTACAATTTGTTTTGTACAAAATTGCATTTTGTATTTTTACACAGAACAAGGACTGTGGATTTTGACTGTTACACTGAAATTTAAGAATGGATCTCTTTGCAGCGATTATGGACGAGATTGGGGAATGTTATCAAAGATATATACAATATCATGTTTGAACATGAGCTGGTTTTCATGAAGATGAAACAATAATAAAAAAAATAATAATGAAGTGTAACTGAAGATGTTCCATGTTTCTGTCAAAATGATTTAAAAGCAATTTTTAGGCCTAGAGATAAATTAATGAGGTCTAATGTAAAATTAAATGGTATCAACAATTATATTTTTAAGACAAGACTTTTGATTTGCAGTGACATCGCCGGAGGCAAAGTGTTCTGACAGTGAAGATGAAATCAAAGCATGACAGGGAGCTGACAGGGAAACTGGCATCGTATCAGTTTTGGGGCAAAAATAACAAGAAAATGCGACAACGTGGGCTCAACTGGCTGTTTGAAAACAGTGTTAAAGTGTTTTTAGGGTGGACTTTTCCTCGTGGATCCTATTCCAGAGGTGTGCATGCTTCAGGTCCAGCCCAGCACAGTACGTAATTCTACCAAACCAGCACAAACAAAAGTCTCTAAAACAAGATAGAAACTGAATGACTAGTCAGTTTAAAAAAGACCTCTGCTAACTGTTCTCTGCTGTAACACTCACTGTACAGAAAATATCATCATAGACATCAAGTATAAGGCTTGATACAATGTATATGTCACTCGTGGCGGTCTATGTGACATTGTGCAGTCAGTATAAACATGGCACAACAAGCAGGATGAAATATTGTTAATGGCGGCTCATGAAGGAACTATTCTGAGATCTCTGTCCATGTCAGGAGGAGCAAACCGATGTCCAAGGTACGTTTTGTTGCTTCTTTATATATGGCGTTTTCCATGAAGAGTATTTAAAGAGCACATAAGCAAACATGTAATATTTAAGAATCTCTTTATTGTCCGCCCTCAAGCCAGCTGGAGTAGGCATAACCAATCAGCTTGTAGATTGATGTGACAAGAGGGCCACGCAGGCGTCTCCTCAGAAAGCTGTCATGTTGCACTTGTACACTGCGGCTGCTGAAAGCGTATCGGGATGTGAAGTCAAGTTGTCCCTAGTCTCCTCTCTTGACAAAGTCCATCACTGATCGCAACCCTGATGCATCAAAACGCTCCGCTGCAGTTCAACCCTTTCCAGAACCAGGAGATGAGAGCAACTTAAGCTTTGTGTGTGTGCGTGCGTGAGTTTGGGCGTGTGTTATACTCGTCAGACGTGGGTCTCGATGTAGGAGTGTGTGTGAGAGAGCGAGGGGGTGAGGGGCGGGCCGGGGTCTGATTCAGCGGTCGAGTCTGGCTCCTGAGAGAACAGCTCCTGATAGGCTCTTTTCCACTCCTGGAACTCTGTCGACGACAGCTGGGGATTGGCCAACAGCCTGTCAATCAGCGCTAGCTCCCCCTCCCTGTCCTATGGGGGATGCAGAAACACAGGAGGGGCTGGTCACTTTTTAGATCATTTTAAACCACTAAGCTTTAAAACGCAGACACACGTGAAGCAAGACACACACTTAAGGGGATACATTAAGTTTGGGGGAGATTTACACTAAGACACTAAGAGCATCCATTTGTGTTTAGTAGATTATTTGTTCTGGTTTTCTAAGACGTCATGTAAAACGTTTATCGCTAAATGGTAAGTAAGGACGCCTTTATAAACAGTTCAGAACTTTTAATACATTGCATTATTAATAATGAATAAATGCACCAATACTTTTTTAGATATGTTAATAATAAGAACATTGTTTGGGTTGGGAGGTTCTTAATAATGACCCTACAAATAAGACTTAATAGATTATTGTAAGCAGCTTTTATTAATGGCTTATAAACATTTGTAATTGAAAATGACTTGCTCAAATAAAAGGAGAATCCTGTGACTCTTTATTAATACATTTTGTTAATAAATGTGTCTTCGACGTCCATTGAAAAGCTCCAAAAATCTCCAAATATGGGGATTCTGTATTTTTCAGATAAACTTCTTAAAGAGCAAAGGATCCTTTATGTGCTGAGGAAATTCTCCTACATTTTAAGTGTACTAGACTACCTAAAGTTACCTAAAATGATCTGCAGAGGCATCGTCACAAAGCTGAAAACATTTTTATTAGCTCATGGAGATACATTTTGGAGATACATGGATTTCACAGGACAGCGACATTACTGGTTGTTAGAAAGTCTTATCATAAAGCAAGAAACACATGACTGTTTATTAATGACTTACTATAACTGCAGACTTGGTGGCTTGAGTTGTTCTTCATGGCTTATAACTGATCTATAAAGCATTGGTAAGAATTAGAAAAGCATTTATTGACCATGAATAAAGCCATTAATTACACTTTATAAAAACATTCATAAAGGGTCTCTTACCTTATTCAGTTTAGATAAAATATTTCCTCTATTTACATAACAGCTAACTATGATTAACTGACAATCACTGTTCACTGGATCGATATCTGAATTAGTCAGATATAAACTTGGCCGCATTAACTACAGTGAGTTACTGATATTTTTTATTTTGTGAAAAATCATTGGATTTGGATAAGCACATTCATAATGGCAATAATAAATATAGCATATAAAACCTCTATCACTATTATTGTCTGCTACATCAGAGACGTTCTACATCACTATAGCAATAATGAGTTAAGAGTACAAATCTTCATTTGTCATCTAGCTTGTTGTTTTTTTCCTACATAAAGATACAGAGAAAATCTTTGTTGTTTCCACAGCAACCCCTGCAGATGAGTTGATGCTGCCTGAACACACGAATACAACCTGATTTCTGGTCTACCAGGGTCACATGGATGATTTTGGTGTCCACTGTATGCTCTCAGGTACATTTCATCCCAACTCCCCCCAAAGAAACTTGGTGTATACCTTTAAGAGACGCCAGACAGGGAACAAACATGTAAGCTCCTCCACCCAACCTGTACCAGCAGACACGGGCAGCCAAAGCCACAGACCCTCGCAAAAAGCTACTGCGGCTACACACACAAGCGACAAAGACCCCCACGCCCTCGCCAAACATCCCCGCCTACGTACACGGAGGAAGCAACAAAGATACAAACTCTAGAGACAAAAAAAAACAGCCACAGCAAAAAGAACCATTCACAGGCACCCAGCCCAGAAACATAACCACTGCTCATATAGCATAAAGCCACAGATGGCTGTTTGACAAAGCGCTGTAGAAAAGACTCAAACCGAGGAGACAGACTGGGACAGGTGACAGCACTCAAACTAACAAGACAGATATTTTTACAGCATGTGTGTGTTTATATGTATTTATGTGTGCATCAGGGTCAGAAAGCCATGGTGCATTACAGCTAAAGTGCACACGGAGGCTCCCTCTCCAAAAACAATTAGGAGTGCCATTTTATCCATTTCACCCTGCTCACATTTAATGTGGTTAGGTGCATTCATGTGTGGATGTGATTACTGTAAACCAATGGGCCAAGAAAAATACACTATAACAAAGGTCATTCTTCAGTCCATAGTGGATAAGAAAAAAAATACATTGTGATTGGAAAATGACGACATTTCAGTTTAGCAAATGAAAGTGGGTTTGATCAGAAAATGCAAACCTCATACAAACTAAACCAATCATAACTCTAAGGGGTGAAAGAATGGCTGTGAACAAAGAATGCAGAAAAATTGCACCATCTTCCTTTGTAAGAATAGCAAATGAACAGTGGGATATCAGATATGAGTGAGCTATGAGGTATAGTGCAGTTTAAAGTTATAATCCTTAAGATTTGTTGGTTTTGGTTTTCAGCAATAGCCATTTAGTGGATTTACATTCAGTAATTATCTCACTTTAAAGGAGCTCTTGTTAGTGACGGGGTCCGCCATTACGGCACTGGATTCATATTGCCTTCACATGCAGAAGAGATTCACAGAAAACAATGCAGCTTGTAATCCAGAGCTGCCATTTGTATTTAGCTAATTGATAACAGCTTCTAGCTTCTAGCGTCACTGCTAATGAAAACCAAACATTTCCTACTGCTGTAACTTCACATTAAAAGTGTTCAACTGGTGCCTGCCTACCTTTTTTTGTGGCAGTTACAGAAAACACAATGTATTTGTCACTAAGATTGGTGCTGAAAAGAATTGTTCATCGAAAATTGTGTCTGCAAAACAAGACAATGGTGATTTTTGACAACAGATCAGGGTCGAATATCGCAGGAGGTAATGGAACAAGAACAAACAGCCGCACCTCCAACTCTTTCTCCTGTTACCGTGTTGTGCTGTTGTGTGAAAAACTTCTTGAGCAGCAAGAAATCATAAATCGCAGTTGCAATTATTTTACTGTATTATTTTACTTCTTTATTTAAAAAAAGTGAATTTGTTTGGCTGCACTGTAAACAGATGTTATATTGCTAACAAAGTAGCTGCTCAACAAGCGTAGTTTTGAACCCCACTTGGTGTCGCCAGATCATCCAGAACGGAAATCTTAAGGATTATGACTTTAATATAAAACAAACCTTTCAAGAAGAAAAAAAACTGCAAGAAAAATATAGTTAAAAAAGGACTGTACTCGGTGTACCAGCTTTTTTATGTGTGCATGATATTTTTGTGTGCACGTGTCTTTGCATGTGCATTCACGTGTGAACCAACCTTCAGCGTGGACGTCAGTATGCGGAGGCGGTGCAGACGATCATTGAGCTGAGGGTCGGCGGCCCGTCGGAGGAAGGACTGCCTGAACTCTGACTGACCTTTCCCCTCCGACCCGCGGCCGAGAGGACACACTCCGCCCTGCTCGCATGCCCGAAACAGGTCGCCCAGGGATGCACCCTCGCTGCCGCCTTCACACAGCCAGAGAAAAAGACAGAGTAGCACACTTAATGGTGATTTACACCCTCCTTCACTCTTCTAAGATTTGAAGTTAAAGGCTAAAGGGCTGTCAGAAACCTGATTAGGTTGAGTTATGTCTCAGAGCAACCACTGGAGGACAGCAGCACACACCTTAATACCTCCACTACACAGGATAATGACTTCTATTAGTCATAGAAAGATTAATAATGATGATAAAATCCTGTTCTCTCTTTCCCTTCAGCTTCAGGGGTGTCCTCTCCACTTTTATTCCCTCTGCTTGGCGAATTGAAAGAGAATGCACATGATTATTATATTTCATTGTGCATATCTTTGTTGCTCTCTCTTGTTGACTATTTTGGCACTTTTCTTTCAGTACGCCGCTGGGCTCACCCAGGCAACCAGTGTCTCATTAGCCTCATTAGACAGTGTATGACTGGAGTGTGTGTTAGCCTGCTAGATTTAAATGATGATGATTTAAATGGAAATGTGTCTGCCTGAGAGCGTTTTTATTTCTGGCACATAACTGACGTCAACGTCTTCACCTTAAAAAGAAATATTTCGGTCTCTGGTGGCTGTCAGTCAGTGTAAGACACATTTTTCCTTTCTGCTCTTACCTAACGTCAATCCACCCACACATTACAAAGCTACATGTATTTGCTTTGTGCTCCTTCACCCCCTTGCATGCGTCCGTGTGTTTCGCTCTACATGTATGTTCCCAACTACACTCACCGTTGTGTGTTTGCTGTTCTTCTTTCGCAGGGGGCGTGAGGAGTGTGTGTAGGTTGCTGTCTCGTGGCAGTGTGAAGCTGCGGGGTTTCCCTCCCTGTGTTGCCATAGGAATCAGCCTCTGCATCGCCATGGGCAACGGGACATTCCTCTGTGCAGGAAGAGTGTAAACGGCTCCGGCCATCATAGTCCCGCCCCCTGGACCGGGCTCAGCAAAGACGGCGTCCTCTGTAACGTAAAGAGAACATAAGACAAGGAATAAGAAACAGTTACGTTGTTCTGTAAAAAACGAATGCAGCGTCACTCATTTTTAAAACAACAAAATATTACACACACATAACACACATGTACAAGTATTTATTTTTGGGAAAAATTGGATTCCTGGCTTTGTGACCTGGATGTAATGGTAATACTCTGTCACCAAGATCCAGTAATATATTGATCAACTGGGTGGATCCATAAGGCATCCGGTTTATTTGCGTTACCTAATGGTCCAGTTTGTAGGTAGTGCAGTCCAGCCTCAGTCAATGGGGTCTCAATTAGGTCCTGCCAGGATCGTCTCTGAGATGAGGAGGAGCGGCCCGGAGACCCTGTCTCACTGCTGCCTCCTGCGGGACTGGAACGGTACTACAGGAAACAGAAAAGTATATTATTTGTGCATTCATGTTTCTGGGAAAGTTTTCCGATTGGCCACTTGAAAAGAGCAAAATCGTCCATGTGTCGCCAGTGGATCATGGTAACGTTCATTGGGATCCGTGCTACCTCTCAAACAGCTTATTGATAAAAAAATGATGTACTTGACATGAACGTTATTTATCACAATGTTCTTTACTTCACTTCCCATGAAAGCCAAGTAAAGTTAAGAGCCTGGCACCTTACAAAGCTTTTTCTATAATTTGTAAGAATTTTAAAAACTCCTTTCCCAAACTCCCAGAAGAAGTGAATTTATAGAGAGTAAATAAACAAAATAAAAAAAACAAATATAAAGACCCACCAGGGGCCCCTTGAAGTTTGAATAATTCATAACAGTCAAACACTAGAAATTGGCTGGAGGAACAAACAACATACTGAGACTTTGCCAATCTCAGATTCTTGTTAGCACTGGGACTAAAAATGTAAATTTTGTCCAGGGGGTGGTGCTGGAACAAAAGCCATTCAAATCATTTCTAAGGTAATTAAAATCAAGAGTCCCGACTGGTAGGATGAATATAATCAGCTACCTGTGCGCCAATTATGACATTACATTGTGTGCAAATGTGACATTTTAGCCTGCAAACACCCCGAGAGCAAAAACATATTCCTGTAACTGCAGTGGAAACAAGTTGGGGGACAATTTTTCTGTTTATGTAAGTCTTTGATACCTTTGGAAATTTTGGGAAGTACACTCAGGCTAGTAAGCTGGTTAGCTTAGCATAAAGACTGGAAGCTAGGCTGTAAAACCACAATTTGATTTTGTTAGACTTTGGCTTTTGCACAGAATAAACAAACGAGATCAGTGTACATTAGAGATTTTGGTTGCTAGATTTTGTTACCTCTAGTCACAGCCAAGCTAGCCGTTTCCCATTGTTTTCAGTCTTTATGCTAAGCTAAGCTATTTGTCTCCTGGTTCCTGACTGGTTTCAAGTCAAGAACCAGTTTAATGATCTGGGGACCATGAATATTCACAGTAAAATGAATAGAAATCAAGCTTTTACTTTGAAATATCTTGATTTGGACAGACTGACACTGACCTCTACAGGATCACATCTGTACTGAACGTCGCTGCTGCTGCTGCCCCCTGGCTTTCTCCCACTGTGTGTGGTGCCTCCCCCTAGCGGACCAGGGTGGTACTGCGGCTCTGCTGCCACCGCTGGGGGCTCGCTACAGAGGAAGTCTTCCTGGGAGGAGCGAGAACGAGACGTCTCCGTGGAAGACAGTCGAGTGGTTCGGCCTTCCAAGTAGGCACTCATCTGACAGAGAGAGGAAAGAGTAAAAATCTGGCAGGCGTCATTTGATCGACTCGTCTCATTCAACTGTAATGACAGACTTGAAAAAGGGACTTCAATCCGGTGAGGCAGCCAGATGACTTCCAAGGAAGCAGGGTGATGATTGAATAAGTATTTGAGAAAGAGACAGGAAGACAAAGAAGAGGAGATGAGTGTTTGGACATGAGTGGGAATGAGTGTGTTTGAGTGTTTGTAGAAAAGGCAAAAGAGTCTTTATGACAAGGATTTTCAAATATTATTATCTGAACAAATTAGCAGCCTGTGTGTCTGGTATCTTAAACGTGTTACTGCTATTGTTTTGGCTTTTCATTTTATCCCAGGCTAAAAAATACACGCCCAAAGACAAAGACATTTAATGTGGAGCAAAGCAGCGGGAGCGCCAATTATAGCATCAATTATACCAATTTTAGCCCCACCACTCCCTGTAGGCTACATTGGCAATAACTTTAACTGTTGAAATGGACTGCGGAGGAGCACTGAGCATGATTTTTTCCTTCAAGTACAGTGCATACTTTATATGAGCGTGTAATACAGTCGTGTGTGTGTGACTCACTGATGGAGGCCGTGGGTAGGTATCGTATGGAGGTGGGGGACTGTCCTGTTTGGGGCTGGAGGTGGTGTCCTCCTCATGTTCACTCTCACTCCAGTAATCTGCTGGAAACCCACACACAGACAGTCAGAAACACTATCTATCCATATCTATCTATCTATTCATCTATCTATCTATCCATATAAATACCATATGAAGTATACTGTCCAAAAGGAATAGGAGTATTAGTACTAGTGTGTTTGGTACTTGAAAAGATCATCTTTCCGCAACCATCTGCTGAAGTTCCCTTCAGCAAGTCACTAAATGAACCCTCACCCTGCTCCTGGCGTATCCTCTCTCGCTCAGCGTAGCCCACAGCGGCCATGTTAAGACGACTCAGCCATCTAACAGAAGGAGGCAACACCTCAGGTTCAGAAATATGGATTTATGACATAAACAAAAACCGATAATTAAATGTGAAAAAAGACAGAAGGAATATGTAGTAATATATACACAAATAAACCACAAACACCCTCTAGATATCACGACAGGAAAGGAATAATGAAATCACATGACATCAACATTGACCACAATCAAATGTAGTAAGAGAAAGATTACATTCAAAGGCTACTACAATGGACAGTTAAAATTGATGAATCCGTACCAGAGATATTGTATTTTTGATTCTAGCCTTCTTCCTTGTCAAAATCTGCTGCCTACAATCCACCAGCGGTGGCCGCATGGTTAAGGGATGTTTTATTTTTTCTTAAACTTGAAAAATGTGTAGCCTGACTGACAATTATGAAACTGCGAGTTTAAAGCCTTGTTAACCAACTGGTGTCGAAATGTGGGCATGCAGCTGTGTGCTTGTTCTCAATGTGTAGATCCTTAAACTGTTCTGAAGAACTGTGT